TATGTCTAGAAATGATAATATTTTTTCTAAATTTTTTATATACATTATTATTATTTTTATTTCTACTGTTATTCCTAATATAATAGCGTTATTTTTGTAGTTTTTTGTAATAACAAACAAACGTTTTGTGTGCTCATATCTTTATCATAGTCTATCTTCCGTTGTGTCCTTAAGATTAGCAGATATATTTCAGAACCAGTTTATCTTTATGTCCTGCGGTTTACCTAGATGTTCCAGAGTTAGTTTACCATTGTCAAGCCTTGCATCTTACGCAAACGTTTCAAATCCCGTTTCCTTTACATTCAGTTTTACCAACACACACATACAACAACACACCCATACAGCAACACACCCATACAGCAACACACCCATAAAGCAACACACCCATACAGCAACACACCCATACAGCAACACACCCATAAAGCAACACACCCATACAGCAACACACCCATAAAGCAACACACCCATAAAGCAACACACCCATACAGCAACACACCCATAAAGCAACACACCCATAAAGCAACACACCCATAAAGTAACACACCCATAGAGCAACCCACCATAAAGCAACACACCCATAAAGCAACACGCCCATAAAGCAACAATCTCCGGCCACCATCCTCTCCTTGTATCTCTCTTATGTGCTTTACATAATTCTTGAATTTGCCAGCGGAAGGTGCTGAATGTGGGCGTCTGTGGTGCCAAGTTTTGTGGCGCTGTGCCCCCTTGGTTGTGTCTGTACCTAGGGTCTATACTCGCAGGGGTTGAGCTCCGGTTCTTTGGTCCCGCCTCTCAATTGTAAATCAACAGGTGTACAGGTTCCTGAGTCTATTGGAACATATAAAATAAACATTTAAAACTGTGTATGGATATGGGGGGCTATTTTTTAAGTACTTTAAGACTGAAAAATCTTTATAATATCTCTCAGTTGTGGGTATTTTTGCTTGTGTTATCTTGTGAGAGTTCCAGTCATGCTACTGATAATAACATTTGATTTTTGGCGTGTCTTCAACTGGTGAAGGAGTTTATTGCATGAGCTGGGATGTGTAAATGAGGGTATTGCATGGTGGTGAAGGTATAGAAGCCTGTGTGGGAAGGGTTGCAATAGGGAATGGGTGCTGGGATGAGGAGTTGTGTTTTTGTTGGGTTCGTGTCTAGAGAGATACATGGTGGGGATCAGGGTGCGTAAGGAATGGAGGGGAGCAGGGAGGGTATGGGATAGTGGGGGAGAGGGTGATCTAGTCATCTGTTGTACTCTGCTCTGGGTTTGTTTTCTTGCTGGTAGGAGGGTTTTCTATTTCCTCCTCCTCCTCAACCCCTGACTCTTTCATTTTTCACCGCCTCTGCAGGAATACATTTCTATATTCTCTTACATTTATAAGTTTGGTCTTTTTACTGTGTGTGTGTGTGTGTGTGTGTGTGTGTGTGTGTGTGTGTGTGCGTGTGCGTGTGCGTGTGTGTGTGTGTGTGTGTGTGTGTGTGTGTGTGTGTGTGATGTGCAATCGGCGCAATCTTCCTGAGAAATTTGAATTTTTATTAAATAATGCAGTGAGATCTTGACACGAAAATTATTGACATGTCATTGTGAAATTGATGTGACTTCAACCCGAGAAACCTGAGAATATTCTGAAAATATTTTGCAAATAAGATTAGTGTTCATTAGGAATGTCATTAATATTGCTAATTAAACTGTAAGTTAATTGCTGTTATCTGACTTCAGTTAATCTGAAACAGACGTAGAAACACTTATTTCATGAGTTAATTATTTGTAGTCACAAGGAGCAAACTATATTTAATGATAAGTAACTACCATATTAAGAACAGAATGAGCCACGAGCCAATTGTATGCTGTGTGGTAGATTCTGCAAATGGTCAGGTGATTTGATTTCACGCATATCTTCGTGAGAAGCGAACAGGTTCCAGACGCGAACCTGTTTCATCAGCGATCAATCAGTCCAGAATTGAACTGATTGATTGCTGATGGAATGATGTTTTGGAGAAAGGCATTGCCAGCTTGAGGTTGTTGACGGCTGAAAGCCTTGTGTTATGAATGCTAACTTCTCTCCTTTTTTTCAAACTATGGCAACGGTTCATTATTTGGAAAAAATTGTTACTGATAAATTGCAATCAAAGAGCAGTTATTCTATAACTGCTCTTATAAAGCCTGACCATAGAAACAGATTTGTTTAAGAAGATTATAAATTATTTAATATATAGTTTCATTCATGTTAGGTACAGTACGAGACTGTAGTATGTAAGCTGTCAACCTCCAACACTCCCACACTTACCCACAATACTCTGTTGCTGCAAACCTGCTACAACACATCCCAACACTGACCTTACCTCCACGCTTCCCACTTAACAACCAAACAACACACCGGAGAGTCGGAAAACCTGTCCTAAAAGGATAAAGGTGGTTCTTCTTGGTGGTCATTCGTAACTTGACTTTGAAGATAGAGCAGGATCGGAAACCAATACTTTCCCTCGTTTTCTTCCGCCTAACTTAGTAACGGTATATCAGTATACAAGATACGGGCTCACCATAGCCCGTGCTACTTGGAACTATTTGTTCCAGGTAGCGAATCTTAAACAACAACAACAACAACAGTATTCAAGACTGGAGGCAGGACTACGGTAATTGGTGGCAAATTTTATCATATAAATAATATCTGCCACATATATATATAGTTGTTAAAATGAGTGTACGGTTTCGTTGCCAGCCTGGTGTCAGGTTGCGTTCGATAATTATGCGTATTTCGGGGTGGTTAGCACGTCGAAATTGCTCTGTTCGATTAAATGGAATATCTAATTAGTATTGACATACCTCACTTCATGATTGGTAGTTTGTTCTTCATTTAGCCTTCATAGAGGCTAACTGGAGAGGCATATACATGTGTGTGGAACTTTGTAGAATATAAACAATCTATCCAACTATCCAAAAGTTAGAAGTTCTGCTTTTATTATTATAATTATTATAATTATTATTATTATTATTATTACTTTGCATTTTCATTCTTCTTCTACTCTTTCTCTTTCTCCTTCTCCTCGTCTTTATTCTTTTTTATTATTATTATAATTACTATTATTATTCTTCTTATTTATATAAACTCTTTGGAGTAGGATGGTGGGATCTAACCATCGTCCTGTCTCAAAGATTCTTTGGAATACATCACGTTCTGTTATCTCCTTGTGTCTTATATTTTACTGTTTTTTATTTTCTGAGACTAATGGGTGGTTGGTGCCAGCAGGATGATGGCTTGCCCTGGTGTTATAGTGCCAGGGAGTGCCATCTTCCGGCCCTCTGATGGGCAAGTGCCTCTATTATTTTATTTTTGTATTGCTGTTTTATTTTCATGGTTATTATCGTCTTCATTTTATTTTTTGTCTTTATTGGGGGAACTGAATACAATGCTGTAGTGTCTGAATGAACGTGAAGGTAATTTCACCTTTATTCAAGCACTTTTTTTCAGAAAGAATTCAATTTTTATTTTTTTATAATTGTTGTTGTATTTTCCACACCACAGCATACTGTATAGCTCCGCACCTCCCACACAACAACACGTGCTATTGTTCCTGTCTTGTCTTTTTTCACCTCTCTATCTGTCTGCCTTTCTGTCGGTCTGTCTGTCTGTCTCTCCCACTCGTTCTCTCTCTCTCTCTGTCTCTCTCGCTCTGTCTCTCTGTTTCTTTCTGTTTCAGTCTCTCTCTTTCTGTCTCTCTTTCTCTCATTGTAGTCCCTGTATCTATTGCATTTATTTTTCATCTTTCTTCCTACTTTATTATTTTATTGGAACATCGTCAGAGGGCGTAGCGTAATCCCTGACGATTACAGGCTCAATCCAGCTATATGTCACTTTTCTGATAATATTTTAACCTTTACCTCTACTTTTGAATAGAATATTTGTGTAATATAGCTTTTCCTTCAACTCTTTTTCTTTATTGCCTTCTTTACTTACTTCTTTTTTTTCTTCCCATGTTTCCTTCATCTGCATATTCAACCATCATGTGTCTCCGAAAATGAAAATTAGTGAGAAGAATGTCTTTGTCTTGTCTTACGATACCAAAACAATATGTGTCAAAACTGCCCACGTGAGGCAGTGGGATAAGCCTCTAATGAGGCAGTAAGGTACGTTCTCCTGAGGCAGTGGAGAAATCCCGGTGAGGCAGTGTGGGAGTAAGCCCCTGCTGGAAAGGATGATATTAATGACCTGAAAACGCTGATTTTGAAGACCTTAAAATATTGACGTTAAGGACCTGGAACAAAAATTTTGAAGACCTCCTGTAAGCTTTCATTGAGTAATTTCAGAGAATTTCTTTTTCCCCGAAACTTTTTTGAATTAGGAGATAAATTGAGGAAGATTACGATATCGTTAACCAAAGGTCCTAAACATCAGCGTTCCACAAGGTCCTCAACATCAGCATTTTTAGACATTTTCCCATCGTTGTTTCCAGGAAGTCTTTAACATCAACGTTTCCAGGAGGTCTTCATCATCAACGTTTCCAGGATGTCTTCAACATCAACGTTTCCAGGAGGTCTTCAACATCAACGTTTCCAGGAGGTCTTCAACATCAACGTTTCCAGGAGGTCTTCAACATCAACGTTTCCAGGAGGTCTTCATCATCAACGTTTCCAGGAGGTCTTCAACATTAACGTTTCCAGGAGGTCTTCATCATCAACGTTTCCAGGAGGTCTTCATCATCAACGTTTCCAGGAGGTCTTCATCATTAACGTTTCCAGGAGGTCTTCAACATCAACGTTTCTAGCAGGTCTTCAACATCAACGTTTCCAGCAGGTCTTCAACATCAACGTTTCCAGGAGGTCTTCAACGTCAACAAAGTGTGTAAAATTGGCGAATGTTCAAACGCCCTTCTGGAACTCAGGCAAGAAGGGAATCTTCAGTATGTCCGGATAACCTTCAGGAATCTAGACAGTGGATCCTAGAGAATACTGTCCACAACATACGTTAGACGCA